CTGAGATCATCTTTCAACTTTAAAAATCTCTGAAGTCTTGAAACCAAACAGTAGTTTTAACTAGTAAAGATGGTCTGCCTTGAGCGTTGTGTTCTTTTAAGCTCCATCTAAACTCACTGCTGTCTGGTAGACTCCAGCTCAGTAGACTATAGGACAAAGTAGAACTGTTCCTGTTGAGTTTCAGACACTGTACGTTTTTACAGTAGCAGACAGCTTCATCTTTGTCCTGCAGGGCGGCTGGTGGGTTTGAACCACTGACCTTGCAGTTGTTTACATGGAATCAAATGGACAACAGGAACTCGAAAAATGAAATAGAAGTTTAGGTGGCAGTGAGTTTGTCCATGGGGGAGGGGCAGCTTGGAAAAGCAGGATGAGAACTGTCACACAACCCAGTCATCAGTGTCACCAAGTTGTGCGTGAAAGAACTGCCTCTGCTGTGTATGAGGGGGCTTCACAGAGGCCATGGGGAAATTCCATCCTCTTCATTTTCATTTTTCCATGAACTTTTTGAAAGCCTCCTGGTATATTCACAATATCAAAAATATAAAGTAACTTTTAAGACCTGTCAGCCTCGTCACCCCAAGGCCCTTGAAGCTTAATCGATTTTTCTTGGCTCCCTTGAATACCAAAAGAGCATTGGTGTCTCCAAGGAGCCAGGCAGACCCCACTTCCTAGGGAGGAAAGTGGCTGGATTCATTCCTGTTAACCAAAATGAGAAACCAGTGTAGAGGGGGAGGGACTTACTTGAGTTACAGGTGGGCCGTAGCACTGGCTGCAGTTCAGATTCCAATCCTCACCAGCCTCTGCCTGGGGTGCTGGACAGAGGTGAAGGCCACAGCCGTGGACCCACTTCCTCTGGGTCAGGGATTGTTGCACCAATGCCCTTTCCCCACTGTGGCAAGATAAGAGGTATCCCCCACAGTCATAATGCTGCCGGGTCACAGAGGTGCTGGGCCCAGGGCCAGTCTCTACCCGAAAGCTTCCTCTGGGGACCCCTTCTGGTGGGCACTATAGGGCTCATCTGGGCCCTATGGCCTGTGGAATCTCACCACTGGGGGAAAGGCTGGGCCGGACCAAATCACCGCCTATAGTACCAGCCCCATGGAGGAGGCAGAGTGGATGCAGAGGCGGCCCAAGTCCGAGGACCTAAGGGTTGGGCTCATCAGCTGGGCAGGAACCTACCTCACTTTTGAGGCTTATAAGAATACGGTCACTGCTACAGCAAAGGGCTTGGGCAAGAGACAGGTAACAAAGCAAACCTGTGCTGGAACCAACTGTCTTAAGTGGTCAAGGTCTCCTTTGGGGGTGGAGGGGTGCACTATCAACCTAATCATCACCAAGCCAAGACCCTCCTTCTTCCAGGCTTTTGCCCATGGGTCTCCATTGCTCTGTCTCTCCTCTCTAAACCTGTCCTACTCCGGGAAGCCCCAGCCCTAACCTCACCTTGTCCTACTAGTGTCATCACAGAGAGTTGGAGGGTCCAGGAGCAGTGGACAGGTCTATGGTTTGGTTCTGGTTACAGTTTAGGCAGAATGGGGGTCTCAGCAGTCCTAGGAGAGTTGGCCTCCATTTTAGAGAGGGACCTTGGCGTCTGTGGAGTGACTACATGGACAAGGCAGGAGCACAGTGGTCTCACTTGTCACTAGACTAAACCTGACAAGTGCACTTCAGCTGTCACTCTTCCACGCTCATTTCTGGAGAGGGCCCCCCAGGGAAGCCTGGACCCACCTCTAAGAGTCTTGCTTTTCTCCTGCCATGTTGGGGAAATGGTCTTGGGGCTAGAGGCATAGTTGAGTGTTCTATCCACTATCACCATCAGCAAGGAGGAGAGAGGCAAGACTGAAAAGAAAGCATTTCTTAGAAAATCCGTTACCAAAAGAAATGGATCAAGAAAGGGAGAATACAGCTTACCTCTGTTACTTGGAGGAAGTGGGCATCTAGAACCTTCCTTTGAATCTTGAGAAGCACTTTGGCTCCAGGGGTGCCCTGAGATCTTTCGGATTGCTGCTACTTGGGAGGGTCAGAGCAGAAGACCCCAGGGCTGATGCAGAGAGGGAAGGAAGGTGGTGCTAGGGTGGTATCAGGAGTGATGTGGTCAGGCTCCTTGGGTTACTCACCTGGCAGGGCTGATCTCCCCCATCTCCCTCCTGATGTACCAGATGTGGGAGCTCCTGGTGAGCAATGAACAAGAGTCACAGGCAGTGGTTCGACTCAGAAGCCTGCAGGGCCTCTGCCTGCTGTCGGACGGTGATGGCTCTGTGTGCTACGGGAGGCCCAGGAACAGCCACCATGGGTGCTTCCTGCTGCGTTTCCACCGGAACGGTAAGTGGACCCTCCAGTGCATGATCACTGGGCACTACCTGGAGTCGGACGGCAAGGATGTGTTCTGCAAATCGAGGGTCCTCTCAGCTTATCACATGTGGACTCCGCGGCCAGCCCTGCACGTCCACGTGACCCTCTACAGCCCCCTCAACCGCTGCTACGCACGGGCGGACCCCACTGTCGGCCGAGTCTGGGTGGACACTCCCATTCCCTGTCTAAAGGAGTGTGGCTTCCTGTTGCATTTCCAAGATGGCTGCTATCACCTGGAGACCTCGACACACCTTTTCCTGTCCCACTTGGACCGGCTGGTCTCCCAGCCCTCATCTCAGACCATCTTTCACATGCAAGTGCGGCCTGGAGGGCTGGTGGCGCTGAGCGATGGAGAAGGGGGCATGCTCTACCCACAGGGCCCACGGCTGCTCCTAGGACTGGGCTCCAGTCCCTGTCGGGGCGAGGAGTGGTTCATCTTACAACACTGTCCAGCCTGGGTCAGCCTCAAGTCAAAGGCACGGAAGTTGGTCTCTGTCTTCTACGGCAAGTGCTGGGGCCAGCACAACCGGGAGAGAGGGTTGGCTGTGGAAAAGAGGGAAGTATGTTTGGGATATGCAAGGTTTGTTGAACCTGCTGATAAGTAAGATCCTGGGGTTCCATGGAGTCTCTTGTACCATGGAGAAGGACATGAAAGCAGGGACGTGGACTTTAGGGGAAAGTCAGTTGGGTCTTCTCCAGGCTACCACGTTGTTCATCCAACGTTAAGATGCTCAAGGCTGAAGAGGGAATGCAAAGAGCATTCCAGTGGCAATGCAAGAAGAGAGGCTGAGACTGAGGGACAAGGGGAGGCCAGGACTCGTGTCTCCCTCTGACAAGTTCTTCTCTGCAGATGTTGAGGTGTATGCTGCCTCGGAGCACTTAACCCCAATGGCCATGTTCCAGTTTGAATGTGACAGGGAGACCCCCACTCTGCAGCTTCGTTCAGTCAATGGCTACTACCTAGCCCAGGTGAGAATTTCTTTTCCGTCTCTGCCTTAAGCCCTGAGCCATTCCTTCTCCATTCTTAGACAGATGACCACATGGTCAAAGGTGCAAGTGAAGTGTGAGGAACATTGTGGATGCTTTTTTTGTGAATAAATGGTCGTCTACATCCAACGGAACCTCTCTTTTTGGGTCAACTTGATCTAGGCACAATTTGCATGCAATAAAATGCATCCATTTTCAAGTGTACCACTTAGTAAGTTTTGAGAAATACATATATCCATGTAGCCATGTGACAATCAAGCTAGAAAATATTTCTGTCACCTCCAGAATTTGCCCTTGCCCCTTAATAGTCATTTCATCTCCACTTTTGGCCCCAGGCTGTCACTACAAATCAGATTTGCCTACAAAAGAATTTTAAATGGTATATAGGTAGTGGGTGAGCTCTGGTAGCGTACTGGTTACAAATCAGGCTGCTAACCTCAAGGTTGGCAGTTTGAAACTACCAACTGTTCCACGGGAAGAAGATGAGGCTTTCTGCTCCCGTAAAGATTTACAGCCTCGGAAACCCTGTACAGGGTCACTATGAGTCGGAACCGACTCCACAGCACATGGCAACAAACAACAAGTAGGATTAAGGAACTGAACTGTTTATTTTCTTCAGTTTCATACATTTAAATAGATACAAGTGGATGGTGGTCACTGGATTGACCACAACTCAAGAGTATTTGATGCTAGAGAGACCTCTTAAAGGAGAGTACCTGGCCTAGATGGGAATAAAATGTGTCGTGGTGTGGCACTGTAGGATACGCACTGAGCTGCTAGTCACAAGGTGGGCGCTTCAAGCCACAACAACAACCCTGATAGCGTCTTGTACCATCATCATTCCATCGTGCCATCACCTGCCCATCAAAAGAGAGAACGAACTTGGAGAGATGTGTTCATCCCTGATTCAGAATATCCTCTTCACTCTCCCTCATGCCCCTCCTTTCTCCAGCATCCCAAGACTTCCTCCCAGGAGTCTAGAAAGCCTCTGTAGGGGGCACACAATTGAGGAGATTTGGAACTTACCTTCAAGAAGAACTAAGCAGACATGCCCCAAGGAAATGCCTAAATGAAAACGCAAAATATTTGAGAAATAGCATTTCCACTCTGCTTGCTGTTACAGAAAAGTGCATATGCAATGGAATTATTTTCTCTTTTCTTAAATGACATTATTTTAAGATTTTCTTAGATGCAGTAGTGTCTGGGAAGGTCCTCATGTTTAGAGATGTATGTTGAAGGACTTAGGGGTGATGTGATATGATGTAACATCAGTGTGTGCATTTGTGTGTATGCATGTGTGTATATGTGTAGGTGTTTGAGCACCCAAACACAGGTAGGTAGGTAGGGAGGGAGGGAGGGAGGGAGGTAACATGAGTGTGAGTGTGAGCAAGCAATGTGGCAAATTGTTTACGAATGTTACATAAAAGGCTGAGTAAATTTGTGTTCGTGAGAAACTCATGACAGACGACAGGAAGTTCTAATAATAAAGAGAAATGTTTTTATTACTGAGGAGAAGCACCCTCTTATAAATATGTTGTCTTCACTTCTGGGGTCCTCCCCCTCAGGTGATACTCAATGCAGGGAGGCAGGAGAAAGGAGCAGCAATTTGCTTCAGCAGGCAGTATTAGATTTTACCTCCCCCTTCTCCTTTTCACTCTAGTCCTTTTCTCTCATTTCAGGCCTACAGTGGTAGGCAGCCAGGCCAGAGCAGGGCTTGCGGGGCACCAAGACTGGCGGCAGGGACAGTGACAGGAAGAGCAAAGCCTAATTGAATCCCAGGAACTCCGCTCTGGGGGCAAGCAGCCTGCAGGAACAGAGAGAGAGAGAACCTAGGTGTGTTACTCCCACCCCCAACCCTCAACATCACTAGAGGAAGAGAGGCCAAGACATTAGTTCCCTACGCTGAATCTACATACTTAAATCCCAACCCCATTCTGCTCTGGCTGGAAGTGGTACCGTAGGCTCAGAATATGTTATCCTCAACTTTGAGAGCCATGCAAAGAGTGAGGATGATCCAACTGGAGATCCAAGTCCTCCCATGAAACCTCCTACACCCTGCAGGATGAAGGGTCTGGCCTGGATTCTTACCCCAGCAGGATTCAAGACAGGCTTGAGGTGGGGTGTCATTCAAACACTTTTCTGGTGCTATCCCCCAGTACAGTTGATAGCAGGAGGGGCCCCGGGGTTCCAGGTCAGGGAGGGCTGCTGTGGACACACTTCCAGAGGACTGTGAAAAAAAATCCACAGAAACGTCAGCTTCCAGTGATGCCCTCTAGTTAGCAGGGGGAGGCTCAGGACTGCCCACAACCCAGTCTGTAACCCATATAACTCAAGACTATGGCAATTGCCCTTTCCAGGCACTGTGGGTGCCTTTGGGAGCTGAGGATTCTAGCTCAGGCCTTCAGCAGGAATAGGGGAGACGGTGAGCCCTTCAGTTTCCCTAGTTCACAAACTTCTGTCTCCTCCTGGGTACCTGTGCAGTGATGATCCCTGAGGAAATACCTGGTCCAGTCAGACCCTGGGAAGCACCTAGAAGGTGAGAGTAGAACCACTCAGAGACAATGGAGCGAATGGAGAAGAATGAGAGGTCAGATGTAGGGTCTAGGAACTTCTTGCAGGGGAGGAGTGAAATGGATGGGAATAAATGGATGGAAGTAGATACTTTGGGATGGATATATGAATGCATGATGGACAGATGAAAGATTGTTGATGTATGGGAATGGATAGATGGATGGGGATGGATGGATGGGTGGGACTAGATAACGGGATGGATGATGATTGGATGGTGGATGATGGATGGATCAATGGATGGGAATGGATAGCTAGGTGGGAATGGATGGATGAGGATGGATGAGATGGATGGACAGATAGGGATAGATGATTGCTGATGGATGGATGGGAATTGATCAATGGTGGGTGGATAGGAACAGATGGGTGATATATGAATGGATCATGGATATATGATTACTGATGGCTGAGTGGATGTGAAAGGATGGATGAGGATTGATATATGGTGATGGATAGATAGATAGATAGATGGATGGATAAGGACATAGAGAAATCACCTGGCAGTTGTGTTTCACACTTGAATTTCTCTTGCCGGCGCCATTTGGCTCTTCGGTTCGAAAACCAGACCTGAGGAAGGACAAGAACAATGGAGCTGACTGTGCTCCTAGCTGCCCAGCTGCCTGTTGCCCCACCACATGTTCTTGGTCTGAACTGAAAGCATAGACCCTTCCTCAGACCTGACTTGATATCCTTCCTCCATGCTCTGTCCCCTCCCTCACCTCAAAGGCTCTGGGTGGGAGAGACAGAGGAGCAGTCAGCTGAAGAGGAAAAGGGATCCCTTACCTCGGATTTCTCTTCCCACCTTCTTGCCTCCCTGTCAACCTCATGGGAAACCAAACCCCTGTCTGCGAGGACTCTTTCCTTACAGTTTGCGCATACTGTGTCACAAAGCTCACTCACCCTCACCGTGTCCTCAGGTAGGGAGGTGTCAGCAGCCAGCTTCCCACGGGTCACCGAGTCAGGATATTGCCCACGCAGGAACGCTGCAGGAGTTGGGCTCACAGAGTGAGGGCATGGGGCAAGAAGGCAGCCTGGGTCTCCCCACAGGCCCTACTCCCCAGCAGCCACAGCCTTCCTCCCCAAGGTGGGCTCCCCCCACAGTCTGCATCTCTCAGCCTTTGCCCACAGGCCCAGGCCCAAGGACCACACTGAGGACCTCTGACCGACTGTCTGCCCTGCCCCAGTACCTTGCTCCAGTGCCTCCGCTTGGCCTGGGGAGAAGATAGTCCGATTCCGGTGGCCAGTCCCTGGGTGGGGACCTCGAGAAAGCTCAGAGGCACTATGGGAAGTGGGAGGAGCTGGAGCCAAAACAACTGAAAGAATGACAATGACTTGTGGTGATTTTGCAGCAGTGATTCTGTTAGTCACATGGATCGCCACATCCCTGGGATGGGGGTCAGGAATGGGAGACAACATGAAGAGCAGAGGAGAGCGTCTGGGACAGTCACAGTTGCTTGGAGATGGCTACAGAAGCATGCTCAATCTAAGAATGGAGTACATGCTTTGTGATTTGGGGTCCACCCAGGTGGCCCAACTCCACAAAACCTGGAGGAAACTCTGAGAAGGTATACATGAGGCAAAAGGAGGGTATAGAAAATCTTGACTCTTCCTCAGCTATCTTATGAACTCCAGGGTTAGGGAACCTGGATTCTGATCTAGGTCCTATAACCCTTACCTAGTAAACTTTTTAAAGTGTTGAAGAGCAGAGATGTCAGCTTGAGGACTAATGTGCATCTGACCCAAGCCATGGTGTTTTCAATAACCTCGTATGCATGCAAAAGCTGGACAGTGCATAAGGAAGACCACAGAAGAATTGATTCTTTTGAGTTATGGTGTTGGAGGAGAATATTGAAAGTGCCATGGGCTGCCAAAAGAAACAACAGATCTGTATTGGAAGCAGTGCAGCCAGAGTACTTCTTGGAGGCCAGGATGGCCAAACTTCGTCTCTCATACTTTAGACGTATTGTCAGGAGAGACCAGTTGCTGGAGAAAGATACCATGTTTGGTAAGGTGGAGGGTCAGAGAAAAAGAGGAAGACCCCCAGCTAGATGGATTGGCAAAGTGGCAGCATCAATGGGCTCAAGTGTGGCAACAGTAGTGACGTTGGCCCAGGAGCGGACAGTGTTTTGTTATGCTGTACATAAGCTCGCTATGACTTGGTACCAACTCGATGGCACCTAACAACAACAACAATAGTAACCTTGGGATTCCTGAACCTCTCTGAATCTCAATTTTTTCTGTCAGGAGAGAATGGGAGTCCCTGCCAGGCCCTCCTTGCATGTTGTTGTGAAGGTGATCTAAGAAAGAACTAAAAAGGGCTTTGAGATCAGGCATACTGATGTGATAGAAACTGGTGGAACTCCTAAACCCATGGCTGGTAGATACCCTTCAAGCCGCTAACTGAACTCACTACCATGGCTCAACTTCCAGGCAAACAATAGACTTCCAAGGTGAACAATAATACCAATAATAACACACTCCTCAGGACCATCAACCAGATGCGATCAAAGGGCAGCATTTGTTTAGATAAACCTCAGAAGGCAGGAAAGGATAGGAAAGGAGGACAAATAGAAATGGTTAAAACAGAGGAAATGGGAAGAGTGCTGTTACACTGTAGGGAATTGCATCCAATGTCACAAAACAAAATGTGCAAGAATTGTTGAGTGGAAAACCAATTTGCTTCACCCAAATCACCATAAATAAATAAATGGAAACAAATTTAGATAAATAAATGTAACAAAAAGGACTTTGAAGATTTAAATGTTGAAGATTTGGCTGTGATTATCTCAGGGGCAGCTCCAAGACCTACCTGGTGGCTGGAGCTGGGCACAGGACAATCTCTGGTCCTCCCGTAGTGCCCGCAGAACTCGGTTGATGGAGGAGACCTGGGGACATTGGGGTGTCGAATGGCTTTAATGGTGCACCATGCAGGGGTGCATCCTGAGGTCATTTTCCTGTGTATCCTTTCTCCCCACCTCAATCTTTCCCAAGGGCAGCAGCCTCCTCTCTCCCCCAATGCTTCCTTCTTCTTACCTCTCTCATCACTATCACTAAGAAGAGAAACATTTGGATCAAAAGAGAACCCAGGAGCCCTGATTCCTAACCAGAGGGGCCCACATTGCCATATAAGAAGGAAACTTAAATCTCCCCCAAAGTAACAACTGCTACAACAACAAAACCTGCTGCTGTCGATCAACTCCAACTCACGGTGACCCCGTGCATTGCAGTGTAGTGCTACACTGGCGGGTATTTTTGGTTATAATCCTTTACAGAAGCAGATCAGCTGATCTTTCTTCCATGGGACCACTGGGTGGGTTCAAACCACCAACCTTTAGGTTAACAGTCAAATACAGACTGTTTGCAGCACTCAGAGACCATATTCTCCCCAGTCAGCCCATTTGCCAGCTCCAGTGGGGGACGAGGTACTTACACTGGGAGTCTTGTCCTGGGTGCAAAGCCCTTCAGCACACAGCTGGCGTTGGATTTCCCAGGCAAAGAGGGCTGGGCACTCACCCTTCAGCTGGGCAATTCGAGCCACCACAGGAGGTGTGGCTAGACGTGGCTTGCTTCCCCCAGTACCCTTGGGCTCCAAGACACCTGTGCGAAAGTAACGTCCTAGGATCTTGCTCACACAGCCATTTGATACCTGGGTCAGGTAAGAAACAAGAACAGAAAAGGCAGGATGGGCAGAAAGTGAGTGCTTCTGAGATAGAAGGAAGGTATGAGGCAAAGCCAGACTTTCTGGAGAAGGCCACAGAGTTGGGAGTCCAGCCTCCCCCTTGAGTGTCTGTCGGTCCCCTTCCTAACATCCAAGAAGACCTTCTAGGAAGTAGTCCAGGCCCCAAAGGTCCCCACCGTTTGGAACAGCTCCAGATTTTTGCATCACAAGAGGCCCCTTCTACAGATCTACTTGTCCTTATCCCTGCTGGAGGGTCCCGACACAGTACCTTAAGGCTCCGTGAGATGTCACAGGGTCGCATCCCACTGACGGCCAACCGCACAATCTGCTGCCGCATGTCCAGCGGCAGGGGCCGACCATTCACAAAGAGTCCTCCAAGCTGATTCACACTTCTGACCCCTGGGCAGAAGAAGGATGTGTCCACACTCCATCTCCCCACTTACCTGTGGCATGGAGGACCACGCCTGGGAGAGGGTTACTCAGGCTTCTTCAGCCTGGCTTCCCACCATTCAGAAAGTCTCCCCCAGGACTCTGCTCCCAGAAGCCACACAACAAGCCATTTTCTTCGGGGACTGTCTTATGGGTGAGCCTTAGCTCCCTGGTCATTTGTGCTGGTCTTTCTGATGGGGAGCAGTGTGGAACAGAGAGGCAGTGACTGGAAAAAGCTCCCCCTATAACACTGGCCAAGAGCAGATGGAATCATGAAAATTGAAGCATCTCCTGCTGATAGTTGTTGTTGTTGTTGTTGTTGTTGTTGCTGCTGCTGCTAATTGTCAAATTGATTCTGACTCATGGAGATCCCATGTGTACAGAACTATTCCCTAGAGTTTTCAAGGTTCTGGTCTTTCAGAAGCAGATCGGAGGGCTTGTCTTCCAAGGCACGTCTGGGTGTGTTCGAACTGCCAACCTTTCTGTTACTAGCCAAGTGCTTAATAAAACAAACATGGCCACCCCCATCCCACCTTACTCCATCCTCACTCTATCCTTTGCCCTTCAAAAGAGGGGAAAGAATTTGGAGAGATAAGCTCATTCCCCATTCAGAATATTTTCTTCTTCTTTCCCCCCATATTCCTTCCTTCTTCCACATCCCAAGACTTCCTAGGAGAAGCCTGGGAGGATGCTTCCCCTCCACACTCCTCCTGGTCTTCCACTTCTTACCTTCCTGCTGCATGTTCCTGGTGGACCCACCTCACCCAAGCACAGGGAGCTACTGGGGAGGACTGCGAATGGGAATTCCTTGTAGGAGCTCCTTGTCTGGCCTTGGGAATGAATCTGCAATGATAGGAGGGTATTTGGGTGATGTCTCTGACTTGTAATGGTCTTGGGTGTAGCGGTTCTGTGATAGAGGACCAGCTTTCTAAAATTTGCCAATTGATCATCTAAGTGAAGAAAATTAGACTTTGCTTTTCTTAAACTTTTCTGTTATGAATTTAAACCCCAGAGTCTACTGAGGACTGAGTCATTCTGGATGTCTGGATAAAGGGCTGGAAAGGTTCTCATTGTCCACACATCCATGACAAGATTCAGGGAAGTGCAAAGGGAATGATGCTTCTGAAGGCCCAGTCATTCTCTTTTCCAAGCAAATATCTGTTCTCTTTGAGCCTTCATAGACTTTCTTTTCTCCTCTGGCTCACACACTGGGACAGAGCTCCTGCCTTCCAGGGAAGCAATAAGGACAAAAGGCAAAGTCAGCCAGGGGAAGCCACCAGTAACCAAAGCCCAAGATGTTTAGGTTTGAAGCTGGAGATCCCAAGTTCAGGGTTCTGCCTTCACCATCTGGCAGCTCCTAAGGTAGATTATCCAAACCACCAGCCAGAATACTTCTTTCAGAATACGTAGAATTCAGAAGGCTCAGCTCTAGCCCCAGGCACTGGGACTCTGGTACCACAAACTGGAAGCAGAGATGAACAAGTTGAAGACCTAGCCAAGTACAAGACACATCTCTTGGCAGCATCTAACCTGCCAGAGGTTTTTGGTTCCTGGTAATTCTGAAGAGTTCTAGATCTTGCAGTGAGGCAGTGTTCTCAGGAGCCTTCTTTCTGGGCTCAGTCACTCATGCAAGCATGTACTGAAGAGAGGGCATAAGAAGTAGGAGACAGCTTCTGCTGACTGACACAGAGACATCATTGGTACAAGAACACCTTTAAGCAACAAGGGACACGGGCCAGAGGCTACCCTGTCTTTCTTGCTTTCATCAGCAATTAATGGGAATCTAAGTTGCTTCCTTTCATGCCTGGAACCCTAGCATGTATGGCAGGAGCTCAGCCCTGTTGTTGTTAAGTGTCATCGGGTCAATTCCAACACATAGCGACCTGCATAGGGTTTCCAAGGAGCGACCGGTGAGCTTGAACCACTGACCTTGTAGTTCAAATTGACTTTGCAGTCCAGTGCATTAACCCATGGGTCCCACCAGGACTCTAGAGCTCCTAGGAGGTCACCCCTAGGAGCTGCTGACTCACCACTTTCCTATAATAACCACAGCAGCTTGGCTCAGTTAACCAATCCGCAAGTCTTAAGTTAAAAAGGTATTAGTCAAAGGAAACAAGGGTAAATTGCTACAATTTGGTAAACTTGACCTATACTCATGAATGTAGTAGCTCACAATATCAACAGGGAGGGAAGGAGTCTTCACATCAACTATCAATGCTATCCCCTCTGTATACAGGGTAGATAGGGAAGGCAACTTAGATATTGGCTACCTAAAATGAGGAGGGGATAAAAGCACAAAGTGTCTGGCTTACAAGAGGGAGTTTAAGAGTATGTGGGGGAAGATAGAGCCCCCACTGAATAGTTTTCATCTTGTCTAGATGATGAAAAGAGATGGGGATAAGATTCTTATGATTTAATAGTGAGTAATGGTTATCATGACTAATTGAGACTGTCACAATTGTAAAGGTAGACGTTTTGTAACAAAAAAGGAGGAGTAGTTAATTTTACTGTCCAGAAACAGAGTACTCTAGGACCATCAAACGAGAAGAGCACAAATAGAATGCAGGACCCTATCCAGAGAAGCAGCGACACCAGAGATGGAGGCAGAGATAGGGACATGGAGAAATGGAGCAACTGAAGACTCTAGATTCATGGGAATAGAGGGACTGAGAGCTAGCAGCCAGGAGACAGGCTTACAGAATGTGCCTTTTGGTGGTTTAAATTATTATATATGCCTGAGTAGTTGTCTTTTTTTGTTTTTGTTTTTAAGAGTTAAAATAAATACAGAAATACTGTTAACTGGAGATTATAATTATTGTAATGAAACAAAGTATATGATTTGTTGAGTGTAAAACTAATGATCTGCCTTGTAAACTTTCACTCATTTCACAACAAGACCTTAGGGGGGAAAAAAAAGGTATTAATCATGAACATTGCTGTAAAAAGAAAAGAGACTTCTGCCTATAACTGATTGGAATACCTAAAATGGGGCTACAACGTGCCCAGTGAAGGAGGCTTCCTGCGGAGCCTCTGCAGTACATAAGACTGTAGGTGAAATCCTGAACCACATCCAGAATCTTCAGAGATGGGAAATTTCCACTTGAAAGGATGAGCAGACCAGCCTGGAGCGCTAGAAGAACAGAAAACACTTCTTTTTTTTTTTAATGTTTAATTATGAATTGTGTGATAGTCTACATGGGAGAACATCAGCTTTACATTCATTCCATCATCCATCATTTCGTTGGCATAGTTATCATCCTGTCCATGCATCCTCACC